CCGGCCAGGAGCTCTCCCGAGTCGAAGGAGCCGCCGAGCACTCCGCCGATCGTGATGGTGAAGGTTGCGGAGGGCTACGTTCCGCGCAAGCCCCCACCGGCGAACTGGAAAGCCTCGGCCCCTCCCCCGAAGGTCGAGGCAGCTCCAGGGGAGAGGCCCATGACCGTCCCCGAGATGCAGCACGCCCTGCACGACATGACCCTGGTGTTGGAGGCTCAGCGCCGCTCGAACGAGTCCACTTTCCTCAACTTTCGCCACAGGCTGGCCGATCAGCGTGCCTGGACCGAGACCACGGTCCGCGACATGATCTCGCGCCCGGCGACCCTTCAGCACGAGGACCTGATGAGGGTCGCCACCATCGCGCAGGCCATCTCCGAGGGCCGCACGCCGGGAGGCATGCTCGCGCCAGTCCCGGAGACCAAGAAGGAAGCCTCCGGCGAGTGAGGGATATGGCCGCAGGCCTGCAGGAGAAAGTGGCCCAAAGCGGGCCACCCAGGTCAACTCTCGACCACCTCTTCCTCCGGGACCTCGGGATTTTCCTCAACCGATTTCGAAATCAGGAGTTCTTCCGTGGGACCTCCAGGGAGATCCGAGGTTTCTTCGGCCAGGATTTTTCCACGCCTCTCTCTCCTATCGAGGTGTGCTCTCGCCGAGGATGGACTCCCACCCAGTTGGGCCCGAGGGCCCAGTCGGCCTTCTTCACGGCCCTTGCCGTGGCTGCGAGCGGGGGTGACGCAAATACCTCCTTTCTCCCCCTCCTCCCCCGGTGGATAGAAATCAAAGGGCCCCAGGACCAGGTTCTCTTCTCGGGCCTCTGGGCCGCCTCCGGAGCTCGCGAAATGTCTCAGGCTGTCTCTGATAAGGTGAGGCCTACGCTAAAGCTGACCTTCTGGTGTGAAAAGAGGCATCCGGTAGAAGGAGAGGAGGCGGAGGAGATCAAGGAAGAAGCGGAGGGAGTCTCAGGAGAAGGAAAGGAGGTGTTCTTCCTGGAAGAGGATGGGTTCACAGCGGCAGCCTTAGACGGTCTACTGGATCACGCTCCCGCGCCGCCGTCGGTCCCAAGGAAGGTTCGTGAAGCCGCGGCCCGGGCCCTAGACGGCGCGGGCCTTCGCTCAGGGCGTCGGGCTCGGCGTAAGTTGATCCTAAGGGCCGAAGAGAAGAGAGGAGGAGCGTTGGCCTTAGAGGTTGTCAGTCCAGCTAAGGTTTCGGCGGAGCTGGCTCGTCGCGGGCACAGGGTCTCTAGCGCTTTGGATCTCCTCACGGGGGTCGACCTCCTTTCTTCCTCGGGGCAGGCCCGTCTCTGGAGGCAACTGGAGGAAGAAGCGCCTCTGGTGGTGCTCATGACCCCCATGTGTAAGGCTTTCAGCGCGCCTCGTTCGTCCAACTGGGGACGGATGGATCCTACTCGTGAGAGGGAGGAAGAGGTTAAGGGGCTGGCCGTGGTGCAGTTGTGCGCGAAGATAGCCGAATTTCAGTTGGCCCGGGGCAGGTTCTTCGTTTTGGAACACCCCTCCTCCTCGTCGGCGTGGAAGCTGGACTCCATCGGAACGATCGCCGAGCGTTCCGAAGTCAGAATGGCCCGCCTGGACCAGTGTGTGTACGGGCTGACCGTCGGGGACCTGGGCCTCGCCAAGAAACCCACGACTATTATGTCGAATTCGCCCGAGATTCTCGCTCACTGCCGGCGAAGATGTTCCCAAGATCATTCCCACACCACCCTTCTCGGCGGCACCAGGACGGCCGCCGCTGAGAAGTTCCCGCACGAGCTGATCGTGAGCCTGGCGTCCGGGGTAGAGGACAGCGCCTGGGCCTTTCACGGCAGGCCGACGAGCGCGGGCTCTGAGCGTTTCTCCGCATTTGAAGGGGACCGGGGATCCTCAGACACGGAGGGGTGGACCTTTCCGGTCGAAGAAAGGGATCCCGAGGTTTCGGAGGCCTCTGAGGCCGAGGTCCCGGGGTCGAGCGAACGGGTCCCACCTCGGACCCAGGGCCCCCCGGGAGAAGGCCTGGATCTAGGTCTGAAAAAGGAGATTGCGAAACTTCATGTCAACCTAGGTCACCCCTCCAACGAGGACTTTCTGAGGGCCCTGCGAGTGGCCGGCGCCCGCCTTGAGGTGCTGCAGTGGATTAGGGACCACTTTAGATGCGATCAATGTGCTTCGCACTCCAGATCCGGATGGAAGCGCAAGGCTCACCTCCCTCACACGTATGCTTTCAATAAGGTCGTCGCCGTGGACCTCTTCTATCTCGAGATCCAAGGGAAGAGCGTGCCCGTGATAAATCTGATCGATCACGGGACATCGTATCAGCAATGCGCTCTCCTCCCGGACGATACGGCAAAATCTACTTGGGCTGCGTTTCTCCGTTGGTGGGTTCGCTGTTTCGGGCCCCCCGAGGTCCTTATGTGTGACGGTGGGGGAGAGTTTGAGGCCTGTTTTGCGAGAGGCTGCGAGCACCTCGGTATAATGCAACATGTTATTCCCGCCAATTCGCCTCACCAGAATGGTAAGTGCGAACGCCATGGCGGACTGGTCAAAGATGCGCTTTCCAAGGCTGCCCTGTCCGCCAGTCCGGTCTCCAGGGAAGAAACTGACCTGCTGCTGTGTGAGGTCGTGGCCGCCAAGAATCGCGGATTTCACCGGGGAGGTTTTAGTCCCTCCCAGTTGGTTTTTGGACAAAATCCCAGGATGCCCAGAAGTCTTCTCTCGGATGACCCGGTGGATCTGGTTGGGACTGAGGACGTCTCCTCCCGGGCGATTGACCTCGACACGGCAGCCGGGGAGTTCGCGCGCCAGCACCGCATCCGCGAGGAGGCTCGCCGAGCCTTAGCCAGTTTAGACGCTCGATCGCGTGTAGCTGAGGCCGCGAGGGCCCGACCGCATCTTCAGCGAGAGTTTCGCCCAGGAGACTGGGTATACGTTTTTAGGCGCCTGACCGCTGCTAATCGCTCGCGTTCCCTGCAGAGAGATCGATGGACAGGCCCGGGGGTTGTCATTTACCAAGCGTCTGGGTCTGGGGGGGCCAGCGCCGGGGGCACGGTATGGGTGGCCATGCGGGCGAAACTTCTCAAGTGCTCTGCCGAGCAGGTGCGCTTGGCCACTCGGGCCGAGTCCCTCGGGGCTGAGCTCCTTGACAGTCCCACCTTCGATCGCCTGCGGGAGGAGCTTCGAAATCCTGGGAAAAGAGTCGGGGCCGTGGACGTGGCGTCCGAGGGCCCCCCTCCTCCCGAGGCCGATGACGTTCCCGAGAACGATCGCTCGACCGATCCCCTCGAGCGGGAATCGGCTCGGCGGCTCGCTCCGAGTCCGAGCGTCGGCTCGCGAGATCGAGGGCTCTCCGACGACACGCGGACCCCGTCGGTCTCCGAGGCCTCCGGACCGGGAGGGTCTCAGCTTCCCGGGGGAGGTTCGGCGTCCTCGGACTCCTCACTGGCCGGCCCTCGTAGGCCTAAACCCCCTCGGGCCCCAGAAGCGATCTTAGTGGACAAGAGGGCTCGTCTTACCCCCATTGAGGAACAGGAGGAGACCCCTTCCGTTAAGCAGCGAGTCGCGGCGATTGAGGAATCGTCCCAACAGGCTCAACCCAGTGCGGACACCGTTTCAAGCCCTAGTCCGCCGGCGGCGACTGTCGCCGATCAACCGCTCGCGTCCCAGGAGAGTGCCTCCGGAGCGACGCCTTTTGCGGCCAGTCCGGGGAACTCCTCGGAGGACGTCCCTATGACTCGGGCCCCGTTTTTGCCTTCGAGGCCGATCGGCTCCGGTCGCGATATTTCCGTGCCGCGGGCTCGGCGCCCCGCGGAGAGTTTTCCCCCCCCTGGCAGACAGAGGAGTAGGTCCCCGGACCGATCGATGGGAGGGGACCTGGGGGCCTGGTTGGCGGAATCGGCGGAACCAGCGGAAGCTGGCGAAGAGAATGACCCCTGGCGGTTGCCTGATGACTTCCAGGATGATACGTTGATCCAGGAGCTTAGGGACCGGTTTCGACCCGGGGAAGCTCCCGCAGTGCTTAGTTTTCTCGCGGGCCCGGCAGAGTCCAGCGAGGCCGAGATGTCCTTTGCTAGTGCCCGCCCTAGCCAGCACCCGCCTTTGAAGCCCCGGGGGGCCGAGGTCCAGCTTAAAGATCTGACTCCAGGCGATCGCGCTCGCTTCGTGGTTTCTGACGCTAAGGAGTGGGAGGCGATGCTGGCTACGGGCGCTGTTCGCGTTCTCTCGCCCGGAGAGTCCTTGAACGTGCGTCGGCGCCACGCCGACCGAATTTTGTCCTCTCGGATGGTCCGACGTTTAAAGCCGGTCGAGGGAGTAGAGGCCCTCCCAGAGCCCAAGTCACGATGGTGTGTCCACGGGCACCAGGATCCCGATAGTGAGTCCCTTGAAGTCTACGCCCCTACTCCCCAGTCGGAGAGCATCCTTACTTGCCTGCAGGTTGCCTGTTCGTTTGGATGGTCATTGGCCATCGCGGACGCGAAGAACGCATTCTGTCAGAGTCAGAAGCTAGAGCGGCCCAAGGGGGCGATATACGTCGAACCGTGCTCTGGCCTCCCTATCGGGCCGGATCAGCTGATCGAGCTTATCGCCCCCGTCTACGGGCTGAATGATGCCCCGCTGCTCTGGCATCGGACTCTGACGGACTGGCTGAAGGCTGAAGGCTTCATTAAATCCCTGCTCGAGCCCTGCCTGTGGCTCCGCCGGGACGAGATGGGGGCCCTCGTGGGATTAGTCTTGATCGAAGTCGATGATCTCATAATTACGGGGCGCTCCGAGTTTCAAGAGACCTTTAGGGATCGGGCGACGAGTCGATTTAAGTTTGGGAAGTGGAAGGTGGGGGAGGCCGACTTTGCCGGCCGTCATCTGTGCCAGCTTAAGGACAGGATCGTAGTCGACCAAGAAAAATACATCAGAGAACAGTTGGCTCCGATGCCCCTGGAGAGATCTCGTCGAGCGGACCTCGACTCTCCCCTATCTCCGGCTGAGATCAGACCTTACCGAGCCGCTATCGCCCAGGTGCAGTGGGTGGCTCGCGAGTCGAGGCTGGACGTGGCGGGCGGAGCCTCCATTTTAGCAGGTGCGATGCCGAACCCTACGGTGGGTCACGCAGTGACGCTGATCAAAGTGTGCAAGTATCTTAAGGCGACTGCCTCACAGAAGATAACGATTTGGGCCCTGGACCCCCTGTCCCTGACTTTTGTGACCGCGTCGGACGCTTCGGGCCCCGGGTCGGCGAGTCGTGGGGGCTCCCAAGGAGCCTGGATCGTCATGGCCGCGGATGCCGCCATCCGCGCCAATCAGCGGGCCCGAGTTTCTGTTCTGTCCTGGCGTTCCCAGCGTTTGAAACGTGTTATCAGCTCCACGGTGGCCGCCGAGACCCTCTCCCTAAGCGGGGCCATTGCGGAGGCGCAATGGCTTCACGTCCTGTGGAGGGACACCGTTTTCGGCGACGTCAATCGACCGTCCTGGAACACGAGTGCCTCCCCATTTTCGGTGGTTATGTCCGCTGGCTGTAGTTTGCATGAACAGGCGGCGGCTCTGTGTATCGTGGACGCCAAGTCGGTCTTCGATACCCTCTCGAAGAATGCCGCCGGGTCCCGTTCGGATCGACGAAATGCTATCGAGCTGGCCGTTATTCGAGATTCCCTTTCCGCCACGGGCTCGCAGATTCGTTGGCTGCCCCATGGCCGCATGCCGGCCGACCCCCTCACGCACGCCGACCCCGCAAAATCGAATCTTGCCCTTCACGATTTGCTCTGTCGAGGCACTTTGTGCCTGATAGATGAAGGAGGGCACCTAGACGAGCGTTCACTTAATGTTTCCCTGAAGTCCCGTTCTCGGGGCGCCAGGAGGGCTTTACTGGAGGAGGCCCAGAGGCGGGACGAGGAAGAGATGAGGAGAGGTGAGGAGGAGGAAAGCACGAGGAGGTTCCCAAGAAAAGAAACTGAGAAGGGAGCCTGGAAGTCCGCGAGGATTCCCGAGGACACCAAGGAAGACGAGGAGGTGGGACACGGTTACTCGGAGGGAAGGTTCGACGTCGGCTCACGCCGAGGTCTAGAGGGAAGGAAGGAGGAGGAGAAGAAGAAGGAGCCCGCGGCCCCCGGAGAGGCAGGACGCCTGCCCGGAGAGGCCTGGGAGGCCGGACGCCTCCCTGCAGGACGCCTGCTCGGAGAAGCCCGAGAGGCCGGACGCCTCTCTCCCATGTGGATTCCCATACCGGAGTCGAACCCGGTAAAGTTGGGTCCGCTGTCATCCTATGCTTCCCTGGGGTGCGTTCTCCGATCCCCTCTCTCCCCTCCCTCCGTGTTCTCCTGCGGTATATAGCCAATTTGGCTTAGGATGTGACTCCGAGGAGTCGCTGAGAGGACGGGCGAGGCCTTTCGATAAACAAGTTTATCTCCACACTCGCCCTTAGTCTTTCCATTGGCCCGTCGACCCTGTGACAGGCCCACGAGGCCCCCAAGAGGGCCGAAAGACGGCCCAAGAAGGCCTCAAGACTGCCCCGGGGGCACCGAAGACTGTCTAGGAGAGCCCTAAGAAGGCTCCAAGAAGAGCCCAAGAAAGGAATTCAATTTGACATGTTGAGCCTTTCCCCCCAAGTTGGCCCTAAGAGCTCCCAAGATGGCCCTAAGAGCTCCCCAGAGGCTCTGGAGGCGTCCCGAAGGGGCCCCAACAGACCTCCTGGAGGCTCCAAAGAAGCCCCCAAGAGGCCCTTAGGGGGCCTCCCAAAGCCCCCCAAATGCCCGCAAGAGCCGTCCGAGAGGTCCCTGGGAGGCACCCCAAGGCATACTCATATGCATGCAAGGGTCTCCTGACCCATGGGTTGGCCCGAAGGCCAACCCATGGGTCAGGAGACCATTGCAAGACGTCACTCCTGCTGGGGGTCGGTGGAAAGGCGTAAACCACTTGGATAGCACGAGCATCAGCATGGCCACCATCCTGCTCCTCCTCCTCCTCCTCCTCCTCCTCCTCCTCCTCCTCCTCCTCCTACTTCCCCTCCCCCTCCTCCTCCCGCTCCTCATAATCCTCGTCGTCCTCATCTCCTCCCCCCCTCCTCCTCCCTCCTCCTCCTCCTCTCCCTCCCACTCCTCCCCTCCTCCTCCCCCTCCCCCCCATCATCATCATCATCATCATCATCCAGCATTCATCAGCATCATCATCATCATCAGCAGCATCAGCATCATCATCATCATGTTCATCATCACCATCAGCATCATCGTCATCATCAGCATCATCATCATCATCATCATCATCATCATCATCAGCATCATCGCCATCACCATCAGCATCATCATCAGCAGCATCATCAGCATCATCATGATCATCATCATCAGCGGCTTCAGCATCATCTTTTATCAGCATCAGCATCATCATCAGCATCATCAGCATCACCATCATCATCATCAGCATATCCATCATCACCATCATCATCAGCATCAGCATCATCATCAGCATCATCATCAGCCGCATCATCATCAGCATCATCATAATCAGCATCATAATCGTCAGCATCAGCATCAGCAGCATCATCACCATCAATATCATCATCACCATCATACTCAACATAATCGTCATCATACCCATCAGCATCAATATTATCATCATCACCGTCAACATCACCATCAACCATCAACATCAACATCAGCATCACGACCATCATCATGATCAGCATCGCCATCATCAGCAGCATCCTTATCAGCATCAGTAGTATCATCATCACCATCATCACGATCTTCATCATCATCGTCACCGTCATCACTATAATCAGCATCATCAGTACCAGCATCATCATCAGTATCATCAGCATCATCACCGGCATTATCATCAGCATGATCATCGTCATGATCAGCATCACCATCATCATCAGCAGCATCCCCAATGTTATCATAATCATCAGCAGTATGATTGTAGTCGTGTGCAGCAGCGGCATCACAATCATCATCGTCGTCGATGTGAGCAAAATCGTCAACATCATCATCATGAGCATAACAATCGTCATCGGCATAAGCACCATCGCCGCCATCCCATTCATCATCGTCATCATCGTCAACACCAACATCATCAGCGTCAGCATCATCGTCATCATCATGAACTCGATCATCATCATCAGCATCGTCGTCATCATCATAGTCATCATCAGTATCATCACCATCACGATCACCATCGTCAAGTTCACAATCATCATCATTATCACCTGCAACATGGTCAGCATCATCATAGTTTTCCATCATGATGTTGATGATGATCAGCATCATCACCATCAGCATCGTCGTCATCACTGTCATCATCACCAGCATCATCATTATCATCACCTTCATGATCAGCTGCGTCATCGTCACCGTCATCACCAGTGGCAGCATAGCCAGCAACAACAATATCATCAGCATCAGCATCAGCATCGTAACGAGTACCATCATCATCATTTATCATCCTTATCGTCATCAACATCATCGTCATCACTATCATCATGAGCATCGCTGTCGTGATTGCATTAGGGGCAGCAACAGCGCCATCACCATCAACAACATGATCAACATTATCAGACTCATGATCAACATGGCCGTCACCACCACAACCACCATCAACATCCCGACGAATCCTTATCCGCTTACTCCCCCTTCTCCTTCCCCTCCGCATCGGCATCAACATGACCATCAACAGAAACATCGAACGCCTCACCCGTAACACCATCATCTCCATCATCTCCATCATCACCATTGCAATCACCATCACAATCCGTTGCCTCAGTCCCCTCATCAGTGGCATCATCGCTCGCTCATTCTGAATATTCCCCCATCCCTCCTCATAATCCACATGCGTCTCCTCCTCCGCCCTGTCGTTCCCCCTGGTTCCCCAAATCCTCCTTCTCATAGTATTCACCTTCTTCATATCCATCCTCGTTTTCCTCGTTTTCCTCGTCTCCTCCGATGTAGAAAACCAACACCCCGAAAAAAAACAGGCGTAGACCTCCGACAGATTTTGTGTGCAATGCGCAAGCCCTGGGAATCTCGACCCCTTCCCTCGAGTTCGTTACCCGACACGCCGTGGGATCCAAAAGAACAGTGGACAACAACCACAGGCCGAACGTGCATACTGATAGGAAACAATGTTCGCCACCGTGGGCCGCAAACAAAAAACGCTGCGCTCTGGGAGCGCACGTCATGTGGTACGATCGATGTCGTGCGTCGTGCAAGTTATTTAGCGCAAGCGGAATTATTCAATATTGTGGCGCAAGCTACATGATGCAAAATGTTGTTCGCTTCTGTCCACAAGCCAATGTTCCCCGTTCCCTGGCTCACGGTACTGGGCCCCCTGAGGAACCGAGAGAGGTGACTCGGCCCACCGCCGAGCCACGGCCGCCAAGCCAGGGGCCTCGGCAGGCAAGCCCTCGCCCACACGCCGCTCTGCGCGAACGGAAATCATCCACTAACCGTGGGCCCCTTTCACCAGGCGGGCCCGAACCTGCAAATTCACACCTCTCGCACCTCTCCCAAGGGTTCCCCTCCCTCGAAGAGGGCTGCAGCCCCGAGAAGACGAGCTCTGCGCGGCGCCTCCGCCGCTTGTCATTGGCTGTGTGCTGCTCTGGCCGCCCTTGACACGCTCGCCCTGGCCCGTCTGTCTTCCTTCAGGTGTAGACGCCACACATGACGCACACGAGGTAACCGTGCTCCCCCCTCACCTCGACGATTTCGCAATCACCATGCCTCCAGCCGCGCTCTCTAAAACCGCGACTGCACACTGCTCCGCGCCGCAATCCCCTGCGCCCTCGGCCTCGGCCACTTGCGGCGCCGCGTCGACCCGATTGCCCACGGGGCTAAGAGGGGCCTCCCCACCTGCGGCCGCCACAGCCAGCTCTGCGCTTCCAATCTCCTGGGCGGGCCTTTTCCTCAACGGGCCCCGCCAAGCCTGGCGTCTCTGCCGCTTGCAGGGTGGCCGTGGCGCCTCGTCCTCCATGGGCGCCTGCAGGCCTCCTCTTGCCCGCGGTCGTGGCCGCTGCCGCGGTGGCCACGCGGCCGCCCCTTCGGAGCGCCCCACGCGCGTTCTCGCTGGGCTGCCGTTGGCGTCGGCGTCGGCGCCCACCTCCTCGACTGGCCTCGCCTGGACCCCAGCGCCGCCCCTTGGCCCCTGAGCTCGTAGATGTCGCCGCGCCGCTGGTCCACTTCCTGCCCCTCGAGGCCCATCGCGCCGCGCAGCGCCGACTGCATGCGACCGCCGTCCTCCTCGGCCTCCTCAGGCGCGGCAGCGCCCCCACCTAGTTCTGCGCGGCCCCCTTGGGGCGGTCAGTGGTCTTCCAAGTCCACTTCATCTTCCTGCGCCTGGCCCTTCATTGTGGCTGCTGCCGCGAGGCGCGCAACCTTCTCGCTGAGGGCTTCCGCGCCCCTGCGGGGCACTAAGCGGCCCGCGCTGCCCGGGCCGCCAACCCAGGGCAACGACGCCACCCGCGCCCCCCCCGGCCGCCCTGCCTCATCCAGGGCTGCGCGCCACAGGGGCTGCGGTAGAAGAGTTTGTTGGAGCCCTCGGTGCACGCCTGCCCCCCGCGCACTCGGCACCTGGCGCCATCGCCATTGGGCTCGAAGTCGCGCGGCACCAGGTCCAGCGGAAACGCCTGACCACCGCCTCGATGGCGCCCTTGTCGCTCTGGCGGCTGCCACCGGGCGTCGCGCCGCACCTCGACCGGCTCGCGCCGCCAGCCGACGTCGCGCAAGGCCCAAGCCACCTGCTCGCGTCCAGCGTCGCTTTCGGCCGCCATCTCGGCCCGGCGGCCCACCCCTCAATTGCCCTCAACCGCGCGCCGCCGCCCCTACCCGGCGCCTTCGATGACCTCCCGGCTGCGGTGAGCCTTGCAGTGCGCGGCGCAGGTCTCGGTCCTCGATGGCGAACCAAGTCATGCGCCGCGCGTCCACGCGGGCCCGCCTGCCCCCGCGGCGCCGCGCCCCGCCCCTGCCCGTTCCCAGCGCAATCGCGAGGTGGTCCGTGCGAACGACGCAGGGCCTCTACGCGCCCGCCATCTCAGTCTCAGCGTGCCTCGCTGCCTGCAGAAGGCCCACAACTCCGCCATCTCGACTGCCCGCTGGACAGGCGAAGCCACTGGGATTGCGCCCCGCGCACTGACGCGCGCCTGCCCGTCAGGCTCCACTGATGCGACCGCCCGGCCTGTCTGCCCCCGCAGGGGCGCCCCGGCTTCGAACGCCGCGGGTTCGAGCCGTCGCAGACAACCACACCCTCCAGCGCTTC